AGATTGGCTGTGGGATGGAAGGAGCAACATTTTAACAAGGGCTCACAACCTCTGCTCTGTCACAGGACCTAGAGAGGTGCAGGCTGTTAAATTTAGATCCTCTCCCAGACAACCTCTGCCATTAAGATCCTATGGAGTCAACCCTCGCCCCTCCCCCTTCCGCCTGGAATTTTAGAGATATTTTCCCTTCAGGGAAAATACTCCCTCAGATTCAGCTGCACTCCACCAGAGACATATCTAGCCTACAAATTAAATTTTGCATTGAGTAAAAGGTAATAAATTGTTTTCAAAATTCCCCAAATTCAGTGGACTCCATGTTTATATAACATACATACCAAAATAAACAACAACTGCTGACTGAACAGTTTCTTACCTTTACCATGGTTGACACTGGGTGAACTCGGCACAGATTTTTCAGCATAGACTCGATTAGATCAGCAACACTTAAGCCAATGGCCCAGTTAGTGTATCCTTTAAGTTTTATCACTTCATAGGCACTAAGAGAAAGTTGCAAGTGACACAGTTATATATTAAAGTGGCTCTCAAGACATTTTCTAGATACAACATCAATTTTGAGGTAACATGAAGCACTGCAAAACATTTAGTTACATAACTTAATATTCTTATTCAATAATATTTTAGCATTGGGAGATAAAAGTGTAGTTTGCAGCATAATATTTTCAATATGTAAACTCAGTTATACTAGTGCTAGATATTACACTGCACATAGTCTAATAAAGATATGAGGGTACAACTTTGTGATAAGCAGAGAATATAAAACGAACAGATGTGATTAGCCAGAGTCTAATAATGATAAGAGGGTACAACTTTGTGATATGCAGAGAATATAAAACAAACAAATGTGATTAGCCAGATTCTTTACTCAGTGGAACCACTGCAGCAGAAAAGTGAAAGGACACTGTCTAGATAAGAAATGTAACCCCCAATCCCCACAGACTCCTAACACCATACACTGACTATGCACATAATAAATACACCAATATTTAGTACATGTGGGACCTTCCTGGTCCGACACCTTTGGGACCTGACTGGTCCCAGAAGAGGGATGTTGCAGGGCTAGGGGAGGGCATTTCTAGCTCCGCTGCTGCTGACCCTACACCCTGCCCTGCTGCACCACCAGGCTTCCCAGCTGGGTTGGGCACCGGGCTTCCCACACTCCCCCCTCTGCAGTCCAGCCTGCACTGTCCTTCCCAGCTCTCCTCCCTCCCAGATGAGCAGCACACCGTCTGCTCCCCCCTGCATAGCACTGGGTTCCTGTGTCTCCCTCCTCTTCCATCCACACTTCCCCGCAGCACACCTGGACTCTCTGATCCTACAACATCCATGGTACTGCCAGACCACAGATGTTGCCAGATCAGAGAGTTCTGGTTTAATAGTGGTACAACCTGTACTTTTAACCCTGGCCTTTTTGGACACTTTACAAAAAGCAAAAACAAGAAACCAAACCATTATCCTCATCTTATAAATGAGGCAAATGAATCAGAGAAGGGATAAGTGACTTGCCCAACGTTATATAGGAAGTCAAGGAAAAAGCCTGACACAGAATCCATTTTTTCTGCTCTTCCCACAGGACCATTCTGTGTCTCTATAAATGCCAATACTCTGATCCTGATCTTGCAAATTCTGTATTAGTTTTTATTCATATAGTGAGCTGTCATTTATGTCAATGGGGCTAATCCCGTGAATAAGGACTATTCATATGAGGAAACATATGCTGGATGTGGCCCTGTAGGAGCTGGGAATCTATACAGATGTTGCCCTGGTTTAACTGAAGGTGTAGTGTTAAACCAATGTATTTAAAACCAGTGTAACTTTGTGTTTAGATCAGGACTTACATTTGTAAATGCAAACACCAAAAGGAATGTGCAATCAAGATCTACTGAAAGTGATGAAAGTGGAAAAACGTGCTGTAGCCACTTGTAAGAGCACACACCACCTTATTATCCATTCACTGTACCTGTCAACCACCATTTTGTGAACTTCCTTCCAATTTTCGCTGTCTTTGTCAGTACCCATAGCTGGGTTAAGCTCCTGGAGAGAAACACCTGCAACATTCACTCCACTCCAAACAGCCACTGTAATATATGTCCAAGAGAGCATGTAAGTTTTAATTGTGATTACAATTTCTCCTCACGCCCTCCACTTTGTTCAGGTTTTGGCCTTTTATTTGGTAGGCAACGTAACAGTTCTGATGGTTTTGTATCTGTTATTATTTCACTATATTGAATTCCAAGAGCTCTGGTAGGTGAGATGGGTGAATGCTATAAAATGATTAGCATCATTTCAGTCAATATTTTAATTACAAAACTCTGCCTTATTAACAAACAACTTAATTAACAACTTACTCTTAGTATTTATTTTGGGCTGAAATCTGGAAAACAGTTTATAATCCTAAGAAATGGATATTTGCCCAACCTTTAACTGACCAACTTCCAAAAAGATATCTAATTTAGATTTTGCTTTGGGACACATTGGCAAGACAACACAGAAATTAGTGCTTGCTAAACCACAGAGGTACTGGGGTCTGCCTCCATAAATCTCTCATACACCCTCTTGAACACAGAGAGTGCAACACATCTATCTACATAGAGGGTCCATGCGAGCCCCAGAATGGCAATTCCCTCATGTAGCACAAACTTCAGTGGCAAGGGAGAACTTATCCTCTGATCCATTAAGGTCCAGGGAAGGCTGATAAACAGAGGGGAGGGAGAAAAAGAAAGCAGCCCTACAAAAAAGCAGTTAAGTATTATCACAAAATATGTGCATACAATCAATCACATTCTACTCTTGCTTATGGAACTGCACGGGGGAGAGGAAGGGAGGGCGTAAAACCAGAGGTGGCTCTTCTGTTTATGATGAACTGTTCTGTTCATTCCCACTGGAGCATCTGGCATTGGCCACTGTTAGCAGACAGGGCACTGGGCTGCATGGACCTTTGGTCTGACCCAGTATGTCCATTCTGATGAGAATTATACACCAAAAAAACTGTATTTGACTTAAATCAGTTATTAGTGAGCCATAATTTTAAATAAACCAACATAGAAGAATACGAGTTGAGGAGTGGATATGACAGTAAAAAACCAAAACAACTGTTCAATTATTGGAGAAATTAGACCCGGTACTCTTTTCCCCCCACCCCTCCAAGAACACAGCTGAAGAAGCATCAGCATAAGCTAGCTCTTTGAGAATTTCCCATCACTTTCGAGGCTTCAGCTATTTTACCTGTTTCTCTCATTCAAAAAGGCATCAGAAAATCTCCTTACCACTAGAATCACCATGTTCTCCTAAGATCCAGCCATGGCAGCTGGTGGGGTGGATGCCAAGTTTTTCAGCCATCAGATGGCGAAATCTAGCTGAATCTAGATTGCAACCACTTCCAATAACACGATGTTTGGGCAGCCCACTCAGCTTCCATGTGACATAGGTCAATATATCCACTGGGAAAGAGAAAAAAACGGAGCTGATTAATTTGGCCGCATATTTACTTAAATTATATCTTAATGTGTGAGACTGGGTAGCCTCTTACAAGTCAGAGGAACAAGAGTGTGCAACTTGCACAAAGTATCTTGGCCCTAAATAGACAGGAGGCTAGGGTGGCAGGCAGGGCCACGGAACACATGGGGAGGGAGTACACAGGCCAGCAGGAGGGGCCAGGAGACGCACGGAGGGGGGGGTAAATGTGTTGAGACCCCACCCACCCGAAGCCCTGGAGAGAAGGGTGCCTGCTGGCCCACTAGGAGGATTTAAGGACTGGCACTGGCTTTAAGGTAAATTGTGTTTGAGATCCCGGGTTTAACTACATATTTTGTATCCTAATTTTACTCAAATGTTTCTATTCTAACTTTTCTTCCCCAGTTGACCTCAGTAAAAGCTAAGCTGAGCTGTGTGCAGAACAGAAATACAGGCTGTTTGAACTTTGTACAGGTTGAACCTCTCTAGCATGGCATCCTGGAGACTGGACCAGTGCTGAACCAAAGAATTTGGTAGACCACGGGAAGTCAATATTTTCTAGCAGGATTACTAACATTTCCACTGCTGACTGGGCTCTTAGAAGACATTTAGGTGTAAATTAGAGCTAAATCACAGCACAAAACACCAGGACTGGTGGCTGTAAACAAACTTTATGGGACCACCAGAAACTTGGCCACACCTATGATAAGTGGACCTTTGGCTAACTAAAATCATGCCAAACCATGGAAGTTTATTGGACCAGAGAGTGCCAAACTAGAGAGGTTCAACCTGTACTCAATGCACAAACTTTTCCTACAACCCTATTGAAGGAATTTTATAAATTTTACATCTGAGTATTGTTTTTGTGATCAGTCAATGTTGTTATTACATTCTCAAGATGGATTTGTCATTCAGACAGATAACCCTATATTTGCATCTGGATGCTTAGGTGCCCATCAGAACTATACTCAAATAAGTTCTCTTAAGGGTGAGTCAACACAGCACCCTGACCTCAAAATAAGCTATGCAATTTGTGCTACGCAAATTGCATAGCTTATTTCGAGTCTATTTCAAAATAGCTTATTTCATAATTTGGCGCTGTGTAGATAGTGCCAAATTTTGAAATTACCCGCTATTCCAAAATGCCCCTTAACCCTCATGGAATGAGAGTTACCAGGTCATCAGAATAAGCCAGATTTTGAAATCTATTTTGAAATAATGGGCTGCTTCAATAGACGTGGAATAGCTATTTCAGGATACTTTCAGTATCCCGAAATAGCTCCACGGTGTAGACATACCTCAAATGAATTATTTAACTTGCACTTCCTTGCACGTTCATCGGATTCTGAACCACGCTGCTTAAACTACTAGTGGTTTTTAAGTCAATATAGGTAACACTTTGAAACAATATAAATGTCAAACAGGATTTGCAAACACAGTTCAAAGTCCTGCATACACAAATAAAATGTAAATCATGTTGGCATTTCAGCATTAGCAGTCGTCACCCTAGAACTCTCTGTACAGAAGATGCACACATTTTTACATTCTTCCTGCTGTAAGTAACTAGGCAGAATTTATAATCTGTTTAACCATAAATATAAAGGCCAGTTCTACAAAAATCATGAATTCTGCTTTGTCAATTAAAAACACGGTTTTACCTGGGTTGGAAACCACAAGTATGGTGCAATTTGGACTATACTTCATAATTTGAGGAATAATAAATTTGAAGACATTCACATTCCTCTGGACCAGGTTCAGGCGACTCTCTCCTTCTTGCTGGCGAACTCCGGCAGTTACTACCACAATCTTAGAATTAGCAGTGACAGCATAATCTAACAGAGGAGAGAGGGGAGGAATACAGAACACAGTAGAATAAAGTCAGTATCAAGAGCAACGTGCAACTATAGGGGAGAGCTGAGGTATTCTAAATAGCTCCACATGTGTGAATAAAATACCTTGGCTAGAATGAAAAATGGTCAGTTTCAATAGGCCCACACAATTTCTTGAGAGATGGTGCTATTGACTGAAATTCACTACACACAGAAAGGTCACAGTGTTGGTTAGGGATGGGAAAAGGTAGAGAGATAGATTTTGACAAATCAAAGTGGTTCCAATTGTAGTTGAACACACTTCGTTTGTTTGTTTAAAAAAGCAAGATCCCAAGTTTACCTTTGTCTGCCACAATCTTATGAGTTTGGAGGAACAAGCTTCCATGCTGTAGATCCATCATTTCTCCTTTTAGTTTGTCTTCCAAAACATCAACCAGAGCAAGCTCATCACAAAGACCCTGTACAGGGAATGGAAAGAATGCAATACTAACATCATACAAAGAGTCCACAATACATTATTTTACTGTTTTTCAAAGCTATGTTCCAGTTAAATATCATTACATTTTATATGGAGCTTTATAAGGGTATATTAATATAGTAGGTTGCTCAGGGGTATGTTTTTTCACATTCAAGCAATATAAATTGGCCAGTGTAAGTGGGAGTATAGCTTAGTTATTTACTTAGGGAAAAAATGCGGAACTTTCTGAATTACATTATATATTATACTCAAGCAAAACAGTATTTCTAATATTTGCCCCAGATTTTTGATGGAAAACTTACACTGCTACCAGTTACCTCAAATTAACAGTCAGTGGCAGAATATAACTTAATAAAAGTTTTTAATCAGGACCTTCCTTAATTCTCCCTACCTGGACAGCTAAAACAGTGTCAATTTGTTAAATTTAAGTTCAGCCACTATTGATTGTTGTCCAGCAGGGGAAGATTTTTCTGATAGTGTCAAAGTTCTCCAAACCCCAAACTTTCTGAGATTTAGGAGGGTTAATAGACATTTTCTGCACCAGTGACTAAAATGAGATATTTTTAGGATTTAATCGCACTGACAGGGACACTTATTCGTAGCTGTGGTGGTTTGTTTTTGTTTATTTTTTAGAAGAAACTCTGGCATCTCATATATAGCTTGTCATGCCAATAAAGCACACTGAATCTTAGTGCAGGACTTCTCTCTACTATGGATGTAAAATCCCAGTTAACCAATTGGGAGGAGGGAGGGGAGGCATGGAGCCACTGGGCTGACGCAGCAACCCTCTCCACTAACAGGGCTTGAGCAACCCCTGCAACTGTGGTGCCAAAGGTGCCCCATAGGCAGGGGTTGCTCCGGCATCTGGACTGGAGCAGCCCCTATGTCCATGGTGCCTGCTTCCTCACTCCCCACGGTTAACCTTAACCTCTCTACTACCCCCTTATATGCCTAAATCCATTTGAAAATGGACATCTAAGTCAGGTAGGTGCTTCTGAAAATTTTACCCTCAAGCAAACATCTCTGTTCTGTTTGCTCCTCTATACAAGTCATAATAGGTCCCTGTGTCACATAATTAGATTTGTTTGGTTAGTGTCTGCAAAGTGCCTTGAAAACAGAAAGACTTTAAGAAAATAATTCATGACACTATCTACATTTTTAAAAGGCATCTCAAATCAGTAAAGTAGCTTATGTAATATGCACTTAAATGTAAAAGAACATATTTTAAAGCCACGTTAGTTACAAATCAATTTTTCTTATTGCACTCAGAACAACTTCTTTCCATGATCAATATCACTAACTGTTGAAGGAAGATTCTAAGGACTTGTACTTAAATCTTGATTTTAAAAATCATTTGCAAGGCCAGATTCTGATCAATTATATGAACATAATCAAGAATAATTCCACTGAAGTTAGTTGATTACATAGGTGTAAAACTGATAAGTGAGTGAAATCAGAATATTTTTAAAGATGTAAGACAATTAGATACTTGATCTTGTGATCTTTATTGATCAAAGTAGGCCCAATTAAGTAAGGAGACAAATTGTGCTCTCGAGAAACTAGAACATATGTGGAATAGCTCCAATGGCTTTGTTAGATTAGAATATACCAGTCACCAGTGTCAGAGAGAAGTTTGGCTCAATAGAACCACTCACATGAATAAAGCCTAAGATAAGACAGAGATACAGCTTAAATGGTTTTACAAAAAGATATGGTTCATCTGTAAAGCTGTGGCAAAAGTTTTTCAAGTTCTTCTGAAAGAGTACAGAGATCTCAATGACTTTTTATTGCTAAATAGAAGCAGAGGTGGAAAAAACACAACCCCTTTCAAGAATAAAATTAACACCACTCGTGTATATTAAAATGAAATGTTATACAAGAAAAACTTCTACTTCAGAGTTCCATTCAACAGTGTCATGTGGATGGCAATGAATTTGATACAACTAAAAAGAATAAAAAACTCATGAATTTTAATGTATTTGAAATATTGGAAAAGTGCAAAATTTAGGCTACGGTTTCATGCAGAGGTGGGGAAACCTTCTACTGGGAGTCCACTGACACAAAACAACAACAAAAACCAGTCAAAAGCCACAAATAGCTTTCCAGGGGAGCACAGTGGCTCTGGGCTTCCTCGACACTCCAGGCAGACATCAAATATTCATGGTATGGAAGTGGGGCTGCAGACTGGAGCTAAGGAGCTTGGTGTCTGAGAGTGGGCTCATGGCTGGGCATGGGGGATAGGGGAAGGTTAGCGTGCAGGAGGGAGTTCTAACCTTGTGCAGAGTTTTGGGGTAAGCGTTATGAGAGGAGGTGCGGGGATAGAGCTAGTGCCAGGGTTTCAGGTGTGGGAGGGTACTGACTCTGCTCAGTGCAGCTTACTTGAGGCAGCTGTCAGTTGGCAACACAGTGAGGCAGACTCCCACTCTGGCTTGATCCCGTTCTGCCCCTGGAAGCTGCCACAGGAGGCACTGGCATGCTTCCCACAGACACCACCCTGCCCCTGCAGCTCCCATTGGCCACTGTTCCCAGCCAATGAGAGCTGCAGGGCAGCACACATGGCCTCTGAGCTTCCCTGTTCCCTACCTGATCATCCATCGGCATCCCTGCACCTAGGGGCCACAGGGAGCCAGTGTAGCTTCCCCTTGCAATAGGGCAAGCCAACACTCACAGTTCCAGTCCAGTGGAGGGGCGAAAGAGGGGGAAGCATTTTCCAGCCTATGGCAAGGATCATAGGCTGGATTAAATTAAGCAGGGGCTAAATGAAAAGCTGCATTTAACAATGCTTTTACTGAGTCCAACAATCTAACAGTTCAAAAGCAAGGCGCAATTATCAAGATGGCTCAACACCCACGAACAGTTTGTTACAAACATGTTTTTAAATTCCTACTGAAATTTCTTAAGGAAAAGATGTCAGATTTGAGCAGAGATGCTGGAGGTGGCCATCTTGATGTAAAGTGATGCCATCTGTGCCACTAAGAGTAGAAGCCCAGTAAAAAGGACTTAATCCATTCAGCTATAAACTCGCTTACAATTTGTAAGGCCCAATTTCTACCACATTGTGATTCCTAGAGCAGAATTTGAATCTGTTAAGAGCTCTTCTTATGACTATAAACTAGTATGCATCCTGAGGTTAACAGTCCCTTCCATTGCCTTCTCATTCTGCCAGTTTTACAGATACCATAGCTTTTCCAGCAAGAATGGTGCTGAATTCAGACGGAGAAAGGCAATCACAATGTGTTTGTGAGTTTAAAAAAAAACCCACCACACCCTGAGGCTATTCCATCATGAGTTAATGATTTGGCATGACTTTTCATACATTCATGTGATCTAACCAATTTTCTATAGCTATTCCTGATTACATACTATTTAAAAGCACCATGCCAGAAAGTGAATTTTCTTAGTTTTTTAAAGTTAAATTAATAAATTGGATCAGTATTTTCCTCCTAAACTCTGTTTTATTATATGAAAATGATAAATCTATTATCACAAAAGTCACTGCATTTAGTTTATATACTGTTAGAGGGCCTTTCTTTAAATTACTCCAAAACTAAAGTAAATGATTTTAGTTCAAGAGGGAGGTTGGGTAAATGGAAGATTGATGGGCAATATATTCAACAAATTAGCTCTTTTGCTTATCTGGGTATCTTGTTCTGTGAAAATGGATGGTGGGATAAATATATTCATGTAACAAAAAAGAAGGCCTCCAATTTGATGCAAGCTGTTACTTTACCTCAATGAGTCCCTGTGTAACTTAATTGCACTGTCCTGGCCTTTAAACTGTTTAAGGCTGTGTGCCAGGGATGAAATGACCCCACAGGATGTGCCAGGGATGGAATGACCCCACAGGACTAGAAGTGATCCAAATAAATGCTGCCAACTTTGCAGACTGGATAGGCCAGAAACCACCACTACCGCAAATGATGTCCAGTTGGAAAAGTTGATAACCCTATCCAAAACTTTTTAGAAAGCTTCTTGATCCCCTAAATAATGTCCCAGATGCTCTTCTTAAGAGTCCAGATAGGCATGAATTCTATTTTGTCCAAACTGCAATACTGAAATATGTATTTTTGGCTTTGAAATCATAATATACACACCAATAGCAGTTTTCAATTCTATACTCAAAAGGAAGAGAGTGCATTAGGGCTTTTTCATGTAAACTGCCTTGGTTAGAACATATTCAAAATTATTTGCCTTCTCTAGTACTTTCAGTATTGGAAATGATCAGATTTAAATTTAAACGTGTGAAATCCCTAATCAAATTGAGATTAGAGGATACTAATAAACACGGCAGTTGTTTCCATTACAAAGGTGTCACCTTGGTTTCCCCTTGTTAAAAAGGCTCATGGGCATTCCAGATATTTACACAATTTGTTCAAAACCAAGAAGGGCTTTTAGAGATCTCCATTTTCAATCTATGCAGACAGTTTACTTAGAAGGTAGATTTACTGGCATTGAGAGATGCACCCATCTTAGTCCACGTGGGTGTAAACAGGTAGAAGATTTACCCAATTATTTATTATATTGTAATTTGTATTGCCATTGGAGGTCAAAATGTTTTTCCACGTTTTGTTCCAGATGCATTTTTCTACCACCTCTCAGAAAAAATAATTATATATTAGGAACTGGTAATGTATCTGTGATCCAAGCTGTTACTATAATTGTGTGGACAGCTGCTAAAATAAGGAAATGGAAACTGACATGGTGATTTATATGCTTTAATTGACTTATGTACTTTATCATTTGTATTTGTTATTTAAAATTCTCGATTTTAAATTTGACTATAGTATATTATAATTTGGTGCACTGTCCTTTTGGCTAGATCAGTTAATTATTAACCTCTCAAGTTAACTCTGTGTCCCTTGCATACATTCTGAAGGTTTAATGATATGTGCCCTGCTTTGATTCTGATCCAGAGTAAGCTATTTTATGCAGATATGGCCTACAGAGAGAAATTTGCAGAATCAGGTTCTTCAGGTCACATATTTAAACGTATTTAGAGGGATTTTCAAAAGTGCCTAAGCATGTCTTCGTTAAGAACCTAGACTTTCAAAATCTGACCCTCAATAAGTAAGACCCTGATTCAGAAAATGACTTAAGCATATACTTAAATCTATCCCTACTGACTTCCAAAGGGACTTGAGCACATTTAAATTCTTTCCTACAACGGACTTTAAAGCCAACTTAATCTAAAGATCTAGATGCTTTAAGTTGCAGATGGGCATCTAGTGAGATTTTCAAAGTATTATAGGCACCTAACTCCCACTGAAATCAGTATTTTGGTAAATTCCACTGAATGTCTACCTTTATCGTTAAATGCCAAGTTACCTTTTAAAAAAATTGACCTTTAGTTTCCAGTTGATTTTTCAAATACAAACAAAGTCAGAAAAAAGGAAACAGCTGATTACAAACTTTTGCTCCCTAAAAGCAAAAGAGGTAGGATTCTGAGGTCCCTCTTGATTTTTTAGTCAGCCCTTACATAGGCAAATATCTGTCAGATTCAATGGGAGATCTGCATGAACACGGGCAACATGAAACCAGAATCATAATCTGAATATTTGGGAGTTCATTTTTAGCTATTTTTAAAATTCTACAGTAAAAGTTGTACAACTAGGCAATACAGGCTTAATCTAAAGCCTAACATCAATGGGAGTCTTTTCATTTGAGCCTTGAATCAGGCCCTGGATGAAAAAAAAATGTGGTAAGTTGAGTGTGTATAATTTTTATGTTCACCCCACATGTCACAGTTATCTCTGGCTTGTCTCCATTTAAGTTCTTTCCCCACTCCAATGACCCTGCTATCAAGTAGTGGACTCTAGACTCATTTCCCCAAAGGCTGGAATGCTGGAACAATCAATGGCAACAGAAAGTTTGTCAAGGGGTTTCAGACCTATTGTACAAAAAACCAACCTGGTGGCCTGCAATGTAAGCAGCTTTAGAAAAGGACAATCAGACATTTTTCTGAACATGAGACAACTAAAAGAGTCAGAGAGGAGAGAACCGGGAACAAACACAATGGGCTCGTCTACACTGGCCCCTTTTCCGGAAGGGGCATGTAAATTTCACGTATCGTAGTAGGGAAATCCGCGGGGGATTTAAATATCCCCCGCGGCATTTAAATAAAAATGTCCGCCGCTTTTTTCCGGCTTTTAAAAAAGCCGGAAAAGGGCACTTTTTCCGGAGGATCGGGGCCAGTGTAGACGCTCTTTTCCGGCTTTTTTAAAAGCCGGAAAAAAGCGGCGGACATTTTTATTTAAATGCCGCGGGGGATATTTAAATCCCCCGCGGATTTCCCTACTACGACTCATGAAATTTACATGCCCCTTCCGGAAAAGGGGCCAGTTTAGACGTAGCCAATGAGAAGATGAGTCTCACATGAAGCAAGGGTGTTACATGGTCATATAGGAGGAATGTACAGAATTAAGCATATCACTCTCACTTTAATCTATCTCCATTTTCACACAAAGTCGTCCCCCAGATTCTGTAGCACATTAAAATTATGATTACTTTATTATCATGTTGCTCTTGAACTGTACCTTTCCAAGAATGCTGATGGCACAGGCCATTCCAACTTGGCCAACTCCCACGACAGTGATCTTATTATTAGGGGTGGTAGATCCTGCTACAATTGGGGTAATCAGCTTCTCTTGTAAAGTGGCCATTGTATTCTGCAAGATAGAAACACAAAATCCTGTAGATTATAAACTCAATCACATTTCCCACACGCTTCATATTAAAAAAGGAAAGATAGCTATTTAGCCTCCAATGCTGAAATTTGCAGATATGTATTTTTACACGGCACTTCTATCTCAAAGTTACAGAGGTAAATCATTTATATAACACACTAAACAGACACATGAGCATCATTGGCATTCACTGTCCAGTTTCATACAATTCTATTCTATGCACCTAAAATTTCATTTGGATACAATGTACTTTTTCCTCTCTAGATGGACTATTGCTGTGAAGAGGTAGACAGCTGCTTTGTGATAGTTGTATTTCAGGATTGGGTTAAGGGATACTTTGTAAATCCTTTGAAACCTTCTGGAAGGAAGGCTTTTGAATAAATACAGTGTCACTTGCTTAAACGGGTCCCCACTGCTCCTTTCATTCCATATACATGGTGGCTGCGTCTATATTGGCATGATTTTCCGGAAATGCTTTTAACGGAAAACTTTTCCGTTAAAAGCATTTTCGGAACAGAGCGTCTAGATTGGCATGGATGCTTTTCCGCAAAAGCACTTTTTGCAGAAAAGCATCTCTGCCAATCTAGACGTGCTTTTCCGCAAAAAAGCCCCGATTGCCATTTTCGTGATCGGGGCTTTTTTTGCGGAAAACAAATCTGAGCTGTTTTGTTCGCAAAAGCTTTGCACAAAAGGGACTTTTGCCTGAACGGGCGCAGAATAGTATTTCTGCAAGAAGCACTGATTTCTTACAGTAGAAAGTCAGTGCTTTTGCGGAAATTCAAGCGGCCAGTGTAGATAGCTGGCAAGTTTTTCTGGAAAAAGGGCTGATTTTCTGGAAAAACTGGCCAGTCTAGACACAGCCGGTGAGTCTTTTTTCGCTTTTGTGGCTTTATGTTAATATTCTAATTCATTTATGTATAATAAACTATGCTAGCACTTTGCTAACATGGCATTTATTTTTATTTGGCTTTTGAAACCACGTTTGCTCAACCCGTAAGATACCAATACTAAGCCTTGTCTTTACCTTTTGATTCTCTCCCTTCCTATGTTTTGGGGATATGGGCACACACACCAATATTCATTTGCAAACAGTGACCCTTGTCCTACAAGCTGCTTCATGAGGGCTGACTCCTGTCTGTGCATGAAAAGCTCTAGTGATGACAACGGGGGACTGGAGCCAGAATTTGTAACTGCTAGTTGAGTAAGTAGGTATCTATGTGATTTGTATGCATCAGTCTGTGCCAATCAATGTAAGCAAATCAAAATTGCAATTGCCCAAAAGATTTTGGGACCCCAAAATCAGTAGTTGTTTTGGAAAATGTGTCCCAATGATGAGAGTATCTCTTGATCCACATGCAAGAGAAGGACAAAATCTTAATACAGTCAAGAACTCCTGCATTACTTCTTCATCACTAGAATGTGTAAGGTACAATGTTCAAGAAAGCATTTCTTAGGGAAGTGGTTCTCAAACCATGGGTCATTTTAATGGAGTCACCTGAGGTGGCTAAGAGTTGCTGGAGCCCCGGGCCAAAGCTCAAGCCAAAGCCCCACCATCCATGGCTAAAGTCCAACCCTGGACAGCAGGGCTAGGTTATAGGCCCCTTGCTTGGGACTGAAGCTCTTGGGCTTTGTCTCCCCACCCCCATCTGTCCCTCTTGGGGCAATGGGGCTCAGGCTTCAGTCCCACCTCTGGGACCATATAAGTAATTTTTGTTGTCAAAAGGGGGAGAGGGTCACAATTAAATGCAGTTTGAGAAGGCATATTAGGAATCAGGGGGAGGGGGGAAGGGAATAAAACCAAAGATAGTCATTACACATTTTTCATGTCTTGCAGAAATTGAAAGGTGTGCACTGAATGAGTCAGAGGATTACTGGAAGAAAAAGGACAGTCTCTGTGGGTAAGGCATCTGAAGGCTGCCCTGGAGTAATACATTCTATACATGCCTCTGACACCCAGCTTCAGTGTGATGCTGGGCAAATTGCTTAATCTAACATTTTCACAGGTAGTCACTAAATGCATGTTCCTCATTTTCTGCACTCCCAACATGAAACACATGGTCCCAGATTTACAGAAGCACTGAATACTCAGAACTGCACATAAACTTGATAGGTGTTTTGAACATACTAAGTCCAATAAAAATACCAAATATGCTAGAAAAAAATCAGGCCCTGTGTGTCTTAATATGGACACCCAGTTAGTGGGAATTTTTGACAATTTTGGCCTTAAGTGATCTGAGCTGGACTATCCCAGCTGCAAAATGGGGGAGGAGAAGAGGGAACATCATCAGTAAATCTCACTGGTTGCTATGAAGATTAAGTAACCAGTGTTTGTTGAATATACCTACTTGATGGTGAGCACACCACAGAAATGCCTAACAGAAAATTAAGGATGCTGTGCTGAGTGTCAGATTTGGATGGAAGGCAGCTACCTGGGGCCTGTGGCCACACGGTACATAAAAATAAGGTGAACCACGAGACAGCTACTCAGTCCTTGAATGAGGCCAGGGGAAAAATAGCATGTGATCATGTAACTAAAGGCGGCATCATAAAACATAGGAGCAAGGCAGCTGGATTAACTTGAAATAAATATTAACTTTTCATATCCCCTAATCATAACTCCAGTCATCTGAAGAACTGGGCTGTGCCCATGAAGGCTCATGATACCATCTACAGGTTTTGTTAGTTTATAAAGTGCTACCAGACCATTTGTTGGATTAAAGTTGGTCAATCTTAATTTTGCTCTTGCCTAATTTTACCAAACAGCATAAACTTAAAAAACAACAAATAGTTTGGTAGCTCTTTATAGACTAACAAAAGACATAGATGGTATCATGAGCTTTTGTGGGCTCAGCCCACTTCTTCAGATGACCGGAGTGTTTTTAAGTTTATCCTGTACAGACGAACTCTGCTACCCCCTGAAGCTTTGCCAAAGAAGTTGGGGTTTGGCCTTTTCTGTTCCCTAAAAAGGCAAGCTCTGCCGACTCAGAAAGGCCCTAGAGCAGGGGTTCCCAACCTGGGGTCCGTGTACCTCCAGGGGGTACGAGAAGCTTGTCACGGGTGTACGGGGAATAGTTGGTAAATAACTAGCTTATCCCAATTGAAATATTCCAAAAGTAGTAGTGTTAGGGTACGTCTAGACTACATGCCTCTGTCGCCAGAGGCATGTAGATTAGGCTACCCGACAGAGTAAAATGAAGCGGCGATTTAAATAATCGCCGCTTCATTTAAATTTACATGGCTGCCGCTTTGAGCCGACAAACAGCTGATCAGCTGTTTGTCGGCTCAACGCGGCAGCCATGTAAATTTAAATGAAGCGGCGATTATTTAAATCACCGCTTCATTTTACTCTGTCGGGTAGCCTAATCTACATGCCTCTGGCGACAGAGGCATGTAGTCTAGACGTACCCTTAGTGAAAAAAGTTGTGGATTCTAGAGTCTAGACTTTATTTCCTTTCATATTGAATAGGGGATACGGGATGGTTTACTAAAAGCCAAAGGGGTAAGGGGACGAAAAAGTTTGGGAACCCCTGCCCTAGAGCCCAAATTATAATTATCCACTGCCTGGCGGAGGGGGAGGCGGCAGCAGCGAGCTGGGGGCCACAGGTGTGCCAGCAGCTGGGTCAGTGGAGGAGGAGACAGCCAGCCAGGCTGGGCCAGCAGTGACTCAGAGCAGGGTTTGCTCCGCGCCTGGCAAGCAGC